TCACATACTAGTTGGCTCACCTCATATTCCAAAGATCACGGTGATTACGTCTTTTGGTCTCTGAGTTTCTTTGCATGCCCTTTGGGTTACGAAATGTCTCCGGAAGCCTCAGCATGGTTGGAAGTGAGTGTTTCGGGTTGCGGCTAGTCACTCTTCCCTTGCACCTCTCGAGATGCTCCCATATAACCAAGCGCCTCAAATAGCTTCTGCTGAGAAAGCCCTACTCAACCTTCTCGTGGCGGTATTTCCCCACCAAAGTGAGAAAATGAAAAGCCATTAACCGGGACTATAACCGAGTCGGTAAATCACTGGCAGCTCACCTAGGGGATTTGGCTAAAAATGGCTGATTCCAAACCAACCAAGAAGAGGCGTACGAACCATACACTCATGCCTTCCTCGTTATGGCAGTAGTCACCGGCTCCATTGGGTATCGAGGTTAATTGGGCATCTTAGATGTTTGACCCTGTCAACAGGGCGTATGATCCGAAGAACCGGACATCGGCACCGAATGAAACGCGGTTTTCACACCCGACCCCGGTATCTTACGGGTCAAGCTTTGGCCAGCTGAAGTTTCCCGTTGTCAATTTCCCAACAAAGTTCGCCTGTTTTGGCTTGGGCAACCTGACAGTATTACAACCACATGCAAATAATGGAACTTTTTTCTTTTAATGGAGACTATTGTACTGAGTTGTTTGGCAAATAGTCTACCCTCAGACGTATGTGAAATATAATATGATATGAAATGCATCTAAAACTTTTAAACGTTTCATGGAAGATTTTTTCGAAGTCTAGACTTTGTGTTCGCCTACGTCGATGACGTCTTCGTTGCCACCATAAAGGAGATGAACCACCCTACCCTCTTCATCCTCTGATACTCATGCGACGGAACTCCTGGCTGACTGCACCGTGTTCTACCCTACGCACGGGCATCGCCACTAGGTCTGACCGAACCATTCACTTTCCATAAAAACATGATGATGATGATTCGGTTGAACATTTTGTCCCGCTTCAATTCATTTTTGACCTCATAAAACGTTTCACAAAAGCAAAAAAAAAAAATCGAAAAGCCGAAAACACTTTCTAAACACAGCATTCCGTCTTTATTCCCTACGTGTCTGATTACTGGGAATCATAGCATATTAGAGACAAGGTCGCTTCGGCAAGTCTTAAGGTAGTCCACATCTCTAAAGCAATTCACAGTTAAGGGTTCTGTAATAAGATTGAGATGTAGATAGCTTCTGTGGGAAGAGAGCTAGTTGTTTCTGGATATTCGAGACAATTGGATGAAATGCTGCTTCGACGATTTCTTTTGGCGCGTCGGTTGAGTACTTGGAAATGAGTTGAAACGGATCAGCATGGTGGCCTCCTAGGGGGTCAATTTGGCTGTGACGAGCGCCTCGGAAGCGTAGACAACATCTGTTACCATGGAGCAAATAAAATAATGGGTTTTAGATGCCCGAAAAACTGGGAATGAAACGGCGACAGTAATTGGTCACTGCTCCCCACGAATTTAAACTTTTTAATCGAAGTAGGACTTGGAGAGTCTTGCACAGCCTTTAGATGTGAGGACAGCGGGAGAATACTTCGGGAATTATTATCGTGTCCTAGAAATTCAAAGAATGAGACACTGAAAGTGCGTGTAGATGGGCCATGAGTTATACTGTAATGCTTAAAACGTTTGAGGGGTGTGTGTAAACAGATGCTTCGTTCTTCGGCTGAAGTGCTGTTGAAATGTCATCGAGGTGGATAAAGAAAATCTAAACCTCGAGTAACTTGCTCCATGAAACCTGTTTCCAGATGTCAGACTTCTATGTTCCAGTATTCTCGTGGATCGACCCAGGCGAAATCCATATTGACGGTCATTCAGTAGGCCTTCGCATTCGAGGAGTGCACGCATTATATCCAAAACTTTCAAAATCACAGAAGTGAGAATAATGAGACGATAGTTTTTAAGACCGTAAAGGTTACCATGCTTTGGGATAGGAAAAATTGGCATTTTCCCATGGAATATGGAAAGATTTGAGATCAAAAGAAGAACAGAATTAGCAGCGTAGAACAGTGGCTAACTCCAGGGCACACTTTTAGGACGATGTTTGGAATGCTGTCCTGACCAGGTGTTTTCACAAGCATCCAAATCAAAAAGAGTTTGCTGGATCTTTCTGGTTGTCATGATGGATGGAAAGGAGTAGCTGGATGTATGGGAGATAAGTTGGAGAAATCAGTCGGTAGATAAGGTGGAGTTGAAGGCAAACCGAGAAGCGAAGGCATCCGCTTTTTCGTGGGTTCTTAAAAAAACGAATCAGAAGAATCGCGAGTGCGAGGGAAATCGGAAGAGCAAAAATTACACGAAACCGCTTTAACAAGCGAGCTGAATGTGATACACTAAGCCAGGCCCTCTGCCTTGTGGTGAATGAGATGTTCCTTGGTTCTCCGTATCTTGAGCGAGCATTTACTTCTGGTTTTTAAGAAGCGGTTGCGGGATTTTGGGTTGTGTGAGCGGCACCACGGAATGTTGCGTGTTTTAAGGGTACAACACGATTGCAAGTGATCGTGGTTTGCCGAAAGTGGAAGTGTGGAATATAAAGATACATGTCTTGAAGTAAAATCACAGTGAAGATTGAAACAGAAACGGAAGCAGACATGAAGTGGTCATAGTCATAGTCATTCCGAGGACAACAAACCATAAAGTTACGAAAACTGTCCCTGTTGTCTGAATCGTAGCGCTGAAAAGTGCGTCTGGATTTAGGTGGCGAAACGGGATGAGAGAAAGAAAATGAAGCAATGATTCGACGGGCCAAGAACAGAAAGGGGAATGATACTAGAGAACGTAGAGGAAATGAATGTGAGAATATGGTCAAGGGTGTGGGCGGCGGTTAGCACTACGTTCTTGGATATGTGTTCGGATTTCAACTAGTTGGCTCAATTTGTTGACTACAGCATAAGCCTTGGTTACGCGTTCCATCAGCCAATTGTGTGAGATGCGCATTAGCCATTCGTTGTTGTAAACATTGGAATCTTCGGAAGTGGTAATTTGGCTGTCATTAGCGTCCTTAAGATTAGTATATCGAAGGTGGAAGGAAGATTACTGCTT